AAATAAAGTGTAACAGAAAACCTGACTCAAGGGCTCAATTTGCAGTAAAAAAAAAAAAAAAAACATTAGTGGCCTGTCCAAGCTTCAACAAAATAAATAATAATTTTTATGAAAGTGAATATTTATTGAGCCCTTAATGCATGCTAGGCACTGTTTTATGAAATGCATACATAATTTATATATTTATATGTATATTTTTTTCATTCTGCACTTCAAGTCTAGACACTCAAATCAGATATTATGAATATCAGAGCCTTAGCTCAGATAGGTCTATAGTAGCTTTCTTTGATAAAAAATCAAAGAATATAAGCATTAAATAATTAATAATCTAACTATTGGTGAAATATACGAGCAATGCATTTTAATTATTAATATAATCAAATGAACTCTTAGTTATGTTAAATAAAATTAAATTTTAAAGTTACAAAATAAATAAATACTCTCACAATGAAGAATCTCCCTTCAAAATATATCTTCTTAATAATCTTAAAATTCGGGTTTTGTTTTAAATTCAACTTCCTTGAGCCGGGAATGTAGCTCAGTGGTACAAGCGCCTGCCTGGCAAGAGCAAGGTCCTGAGTTCAGTTCCTAGTACCAAAAATAAATAAATAAATAAATAAATAAATAAATAAATAAATTCAACTTCCTCACTCCACCATTTCTGCTTCCTCCCAATTAGAGATGCGCCTTTTAAAAGATATTCAGTATGACAGGGCTGTAGCACAGCCCCCTGAGATGCTTTACTAGCATTTTCCAGGGAAGGAGCCAATCCAAAAGCACCTGACTTTTTCCTTAGTCTGCAGATAGGATACTTGTATTTTCTTAATATTTATTTTTAAAGTAAGTACAAAAAGTAATACCTTTAAAGTAGAAGGGCCGACATACTACTCTTTCGATGCTGATTTCTCTGGTTAGTAAAGTTAAATGTGAGAGAAACCAGACAGAAAACCAGCTTTTCTCTTAGCGGGCCTCCTCATCACGGAGTCCCTTCCCCGGCTGTGGGAAACCCCGAGTGGCTGATGGCAGGATGATGTCTTCCGCCATCTTCTCCTCAGCCTCTGAGTTCACCGGGACAATGGCAACCCAGTTCAACACTGTCTTGAAAGACAGTGCATTGCAGCTGAACTCTGTGACCACTCCTCAGGTGACACAGAACAAGAAAAAGTCAAACACTTACGGGACAATGGTTTTTCTGTTTCTATTTTATTGTCAACATAATATTATATGCCCTAGTTATATCCAAGCTGACCAGATCCAAAGTCTAATTTTGAGAAGTGAGCTTTGTTTATTTATTTATTTATTTTTGTATTTTTGAGGCAAGATCTCCCTATGAGTTCAGGCTGGCCTTGAACTCACTTTGTAGCCCAGGTTGGCCTCAAACTCGCAACGATCCTCCTGCCTCAGCCTCCCAAGTGCTGGGATTACAGGCATGTGCCACCACACCCGGCGAGTAGTGCGCTTTGAAATGGCTAAGAGGGGATTCTGTTAGAAGGTTTATTAAACTGCATTAAAAGTAGAATCACCCACTACATTGCTTTGGTGCCCACGTTTTTTGTTTGTTTTTTCCTTTTTTTTCTTTTTTTTGGTACCGGGAATTAAACTTAGGACCTTGTGCTTGCCAGGCAGGCACTGTGCCCCTGAGCTATCTCCCTAGCTGGGTGCCCATATTTTAAATTTCTAATGTTCACAGGGCGCAGACACAATGAGGGCCTTAAGTGATGGGAATTCTCAACTCTAAGGATCAAAGTAAGGGAAGGGGCAGAACTCCAATGACAAGGTTCATTTAATGATAGTTCAAACAGATTTAAAATCATTTATTCCTCTGAGAAATTAAAATACTACTGATACTGCCAAATTGATTAGCTAAATTATACAATTTCTGTCAGTAAACTTTCTTCCTGGAAAAAATTGTCTCCTTTGAATTGTAGTTTGAAACTATAATTCTAAACTGAAAACCCATAAAAGTACACTTTTGTGTACGAAAATTTGATACATATCACTTTTCAGAAACTCACCCCAAAGCAGACATAGTCTAAAAGGCATCAGTGTGAAGAGGTCTTACACACAGACCTTGGTGTCTTCAAGATCAAATCCAAAGTTAAGTTCTGAAATATTTGGGGCAAAACTCCAAAATTTCTGAGCCTTAAGGTACTTCATCTTCAAAATGACAATTTCTCCAATGACCTTTATTTTTAAAATAGTCTCTTCCTTATAATATTACCATAATGATTATAGTGAAAAGTTAAAATATATATATTTTTATATATATATATATATATATATGAGAAAATTATAGTGCAAGTCCCAGAACATTCGAATAAAAATTATTTTGCAATTTAAAAACCTTCTTGGGAACCTCAAGAAGCTTTTGTTTTTATGGGCTACACACATTGATATTTTGCATATAACAAATTAAAAGTGGAAATGTTTTATTTAGTTTTAAAATGAATTAAAAACAATAAACAGGCTGTTAAATATTTTTATGAAAAAAAATCTCCTTTCCCAAACAAAATAAAAATTTTAGTGCAAACAGTGTGAGTTCAGTTTTATGCGCTTCTGAATTTTCTGAAGTCCGACCTAAGACAGCTGTGCTAGCCTGTCTGCTCCTATGTTGTTCTGTTGTGCTGTCACAGGTCATATAGTCACTGGAAAATGCCACTGCATAATCAGGGAGGGAGAACTAAAATGGATATGGCTTAGCGCTGTTAGGGAAAATCTGTAGAAGGACTAAGTCCTTCAGCCAACTTCAGTTTGCAGTAATAGCATAAATTCATCACTCAGTTGCCTGCTTATCCAGAGACTGTATGTTATTTTGCAAAAGAAAGATGAAAATTTACCACATCTGGATGACGATAAACACTGAGTAAGAAAAGGTTTACAAGTAATATCACTCTTCCAAAATAAAAATGTTATAGAAAAAAATGTGTCAGATTTCTATTATTAATTCAAATTATAGACAAAAACTAATATATTTCTGTCTTCACAAAATAAACAATCTATTGTGCAAATGAAATGTAACTGGTCACTCTAATTTAGTAGCTTTAAAAACTTAATTAAATCCTTTATGGTGTTTAAGTGAAGGTAGGAATCAAACTCTATTACAGTACTTAATACAGAGCAGTACTGTAATAGAGTTCCAGGATATGCATGGGAAATGTTGAGTAAGATGAAAAAAATGTAATAGTTGGATAATGTTAACATCCTTAGAAGTTGGATCATCTGGTTATTCATAAGACTGCATTTTCAGAATACATTGTTCCTGAATGTGCTTTTTCTTGCTTGCTTTAAAATCCAAGCCCTAAAAGAAGGCATTTACAAATCATATTTGGCTTTGTTATTGCATATATTTAACTTTTTTATTTTACCGTAGTATTTCTAACTAGAAAGTGGTTATTTTAATACAATGGAGTTATTCCTAATCATTTTAAACCTAACAACAGTACCTTATGCATTCTTGAAGAATTGTGCCCTATTTTATACCTATGTTAGCAGTGTTGAAAAAATGAGAAATCAACATTGCACAGAAAGGAAAAAAGACTGTATTTAAAATAATGAAAAAAGGCTAGGCATGGTGGCACACGCCTGTAATCCAAGCACTGGGAAGGCTGAGGCAGGAGGATCGCCATGAGTTTGTGGTCAGCCTGGGCTACATCAAAATGTTTAAAAGCAGCTTACACTACATAAAGAGATCCTGTCTCGAAAAATATATTATAAAATAACAATAGTATATGAAATTTTATCCTCATTGCTGACTGGGCCATACCCCAACAAATCATTTGAGTGCAAATTTTGCAAAAGTCACACATACTTTGAAGTTTCCGGGTGAAGGAAGAAATACCTGTGTTAACATTAATGTGCCCTCCCAAACCATTTCTGATGGAATATGTTGCACTTTCTAGTGGTGCTAATACCTTGGAAGTGTTTTTCTTCACTTCCAGATACTCTGAGGAAAAGAACAAACACCTACAGAATTTTTTTTTTTTTTTAGAAGAGAGCTGCTTGTTTCAATAGGAAGGCTCACAGAACAAGCACTGAGAAGGTGTTCTGGTTCCCCCAGGTTCTCCGCAGCAAGAGCTTGCTGGAGTCCACAGACTACTGGTTACAGAATCAGAGAACGCCCTGCCAGATCGGTTTTGTGGAAGACAAGTCTGAAAGCTGTGCTTCCGTAAGTACACAGAATTCCCGATGGTTTTTGTGTAAAGCAAGGCAAAGTGGCACACGTGTCTGTGCCGAACACAGAAATGTCAGAATTTGTTAAATACGAGATTGGAAAAACGCTCTTTTGAAAATTCATGAGCAGTTTTTACAGACTGTTAATAGGACAATATAGAGAGCTAATGTTTCTCGTTTCAGTTTTGTTCGTTTCACGGTGGAACTTAATCTGATCAATTCTCTGAAAAGAAGCTGTATTTTCAAGAATGACTAAGAAAAAAAAAGATATAAATAGAGCTGTCGTTTGAGAAAAACTTAAATGCATTCATCTACTCTCTTAGATTGTTCTCAGTATATTTTATAACACCTAATGTAGGCATTTCCCAGTATGAAAATCGTACGAATATTCTCTGCCATCCTTAAGAATTATAGCAATTATTTGAAAAATCCTTTCAGCTTAAGAAATAAGTGAGAATGTATTTTAATACATTGGGCCTGTGCTTTACATACAAAACCTTTCTTTGAAAAAAAAAGGGATGTTCTTTTTTTTGGTTTTTTTTTCCCTGTACCGGGGATTGAACTCACAACCTTGTGCTTGCTGGGCAGGTGCTGTGCCGCTGAGCTAAATCCCCAACCCCTAAAAAAAAAAAAAAAAAAAAAAAGGTTGTTCTCATAGATAAACATTACAATTCTTACAGCTTAGACTGAAAATACATAATTTTGATGTGAATATGCTCCTTCTTGCACATTCTGCAAAGCTAAGTGTTTCATTTCCATTGAGATCATCTAGCTCTTATGGGGTCATGGCTACAGAGATGGGAGGGAGTAGTTCCAAAACAGAGAAAAATATAATGTGGTTCTCCTTACTAAATTGAGATCATCAGTTCTGAGCTATTCCTGGAGGTAAGCTGTGTGCCAGCATTCTCGTTAGAAAAAAGGGAGGAAAAAAAAAAGCTGAAAATGGAATGGGGAGGCTTTTTATATATACCAACCAGATATATACCTGGCAAACAGAGGGTGTAAAATATTTCACAGAGCAGAGTCTCTTAGCATAAGGAATGTGTAGTCTACTCCACCCTTTTCAGTGAATCTTTTTCTTGAGGCTAATGAGAGTGATTCTATGACTTTTTGTACTTTTGATCATTTTTCCAGAAAACTAGTTGCTGGCTAAAAATTTTTAGAAAGCAATCAAGATTAAGTGGCAAGTAATTTAACAGTAATACCTTCTTTGTAAATTCAATTCTGAAGTGAGTAGGAAAATTCAGGTATTTGCTGACACAGATATCTAGCTACACAGCTATAAATTGCAAAAGAGAGAAAAATGGAAAATACAAGTTATTAATGCACCACACTCAGGTCATCCGAACAGTGTTAGAAAGTCTTTTGTGTCAGAAAGTCTCTCGCTTAAGAACACACACAAGTTGAGGTATTGAAATGGTGTAGTGAAAAGTTTTCTTAAATCAAGTCTCCACATCACCATGAAAATGAAAATTTATTTTAAAGGAAAATAAAAAGGTTGCATTTTAAAACAATGTCCTCACAAAAGCTTATTTTAAAAAATATTAAGTCATTCCCAACCTAAATCTACTAAAAAATAAGCCAGAATTGGAGGAACCACAGCAATATTAACCTATACTTTATCGCTCTGTAATCCATTCATTACTCTGGGAAACCATACTCTAAGTTAATTGCTACTATAATTCATTTTTTCATGGCTAACTTAGTAGCCACCTTTTTATAACTAGTTGAAATCAGTTTCATATTCATTACAATTAACTCCAAGTGTGTAGATTTGTAGTTTCTTAAAACTAAGTACTTCAATGTGTCAATGTTTTCTAAATTTGAGAAATCTGCTAGATTTTTTTTGAAGGATGATCTCAGTATTAGAAAACATTCAGGATGTTATGGATGTATCTCAGTACATCAGGTTTATCTTCAAGCACCAAACCATGAGCTTTATTTCTTCAGTATGGAAGTCATCCATTCCATGTCTTATGTGAAGAGTCTTAGTGAAGATCAGTTTGAAGCAGACAGAAGAGTGATCAGCACTCCAAATATGAGCTACTGGCCAGGGAGAAGTCACTTTCTATAGTTTCCCAAAGGGTATCAAGTATGAAAGCTATGTTTACATTTTCCTAAGTGAAGTTCTCCTGTCAAACAATATAATGCTGTTTTCTTTCTAATGTGCCATTTGGGGAAGTCATATTCATATATTAACCTTTAAGGTATTTATTTATACTTTGGGGTTTTATGGGTTTTGTTTTTTATTTGTTTATTTTTAAAACTAATTTCTTAAGGAAGAAATGTAGAGGAGAGTAATAGAATTGGAAATCAATCTCCAAAGCCCAAATAGCCAAAGCACTATTTTAGTAGAACTTTTTAGCATTACTTAGGAGTTGGACTTCTCACTACTTTTGATCTTTTTTACAAATTAAAAGCTAAAATAATCTTTTTAAATCCTCTACTTATTTGTGCTATTTACTGGAATTTTTTATTTTTCAGAAATCATCTTTTGGTTTAATGCTTCACTAACATTAATTTGAGTATATCATTTCTACTCTTAATTACTGTCAGATCCTTTTCCATTCTGAGTGTCCTTAGACTCCTAAACAACCTCTGCTGTGTTCATAGCAGGCACTTTAGTTGATGAATCATAGTACTTTTATGTGCTGTATTTGTCAAAAACGTATAAATAAGTATATCAAGCTCTCAAGTGACCTTCAACATTCTAAACATGATATTGCAAAAATAATAGATTTGACAGTAATTCTGTAGATCTCATATGCTTATGCAATCCAAAGGTAAAAATTAGAAAATCTTACATGACTGACTTTTATATTTTCTTCAAATATAAGTATATCTATTTGTCTATTCTGAATCTTAGAAAAAAGTTCAGAAATATCTCAGTTCATAAGTTTTTATATGGAAAAATCTGGGCTCACATGATCAAGGAAATTCATAACTGTCGAGCTGTGAAGGGACATTTATAACTATCCTGGTGATATATTTACCAAGTTTTCAAGCAGATTTCATGTTGTTTCTTTTTAAAAATCAGGTTAGAAGTTTACTTTTATGTCTTCAACTTTAATTGTAAAAAACGTGGTAGCAGGTTTCCTCAAATGATCTTGCTTTATCACCTTCACTATTTATATTTTTCTTATGTGTGCATGGATCCATGTGTGAATATACACGTGGAACTTTGCCTTCTGAAACCTTAGAGAATGAGTTAGACATTGGGCCCTTTATTCCAGCTACTTCAGTATGGAACATAAATACTTAAAACCAGACTTAAAATCAGAACTGCAGAAACCCTTGGACTCCTAATTCAGTACCCACTGAACAATGGCATTCTTTGAATAGTCAGTCACTCAATTTTAATGAAAAATTAAATGCTGCCTGTGGGAAAGGAAAACTCTCAAACGCTGCTGCAGCACAGCACAGCAAATCAAAAGCCCATGTTTGAGTGGACCCCTTCACCTTGGGAGCAGCATAAGCAGCTCAAGAGCTAAGTAAGTCTCTTCCTGGAGAGGAGGGAATGTGGGGAGCCCTCAGCCTCCACCCCTCAGAGCTCACTCCTACCAACTTCAACCTGTGCTTTTGTCTAAGCAAGAAGTGCTTGTCAGTTCTGTTTCTTTTATTCTGACATATTTCCAGGGCTACTAATATGCAATCCCCTCAGATGAGCCCAAAAAGAATCCACTTTGGAGACCTGATTTTTAATCTAGCTCTACAAGGCTGTCCTTAGTGACATAAAGCAAGATATTTGCACAGCTTCACGTCAGACCTGTGTCACAGTACCCTGAAAACCCTCAGAAAACCCAAGAGTCCTGGTTGAATGTTCTTATTGACCTTATTTAAACTGTTACAAACAAACAATACTGGTCATTAATATTTTTATCGACACAATTTTTTGCTCTTCCTCCATTATTTCCTTAGAATAAATTCACAGGAAATGCAAATATTACTAAATGTATGACTTTTAATGCAATCTGAAATCTTATTACAAATTTTCTACTGAGTTACACTTCCACTCTTTAGAGCACTGGTTCTCCCTGAAAGTCATCAAACAGCATTTTGTTTTACCTTGTTTTGTTTTGTTTTGTTATTTGTTGACTTTTTGAGATGTGGTCTGTCTATGCAGTGCAGGCTGGCCTTGAGCTCACTTATGTAGTCAAAGCCGGCCTCAAACTCACAGTGATCCTCCTGCCTCAGCCTCTGAGTGTTGGAATTGCAGGTGTCCACCACCACACCCAGCCTAACTGCAAGATTTTTGGGTTGAGCTCCTAGGTGATTGGAAATGTCATTTACGTGATGAAATTAAAAGAGAAAGGAAGGGGAGGGCAGAGATGCTTATGTCCTCTTGGCGGACAGCTAAAGAAGTCAACAGGTGGCTGGGTGTGCAAGTTGGAGTTGTTGGAGAGGTTCAGCCAAGAGGTAGAGATGTCTTCAGTGTGACCCTCAGAGAGCAGAGATCAAACAACCAGGGGCTGTGTAGACAGAGAAGGGGCTTGCGCCAGTGTCCAGGCACTCAACTAAGTGCCTGGCAGATGAATGTCCCAGGGTCCCAGAGTGAATGTCCCAGGGTTCCAGAGTAGCAAGAGATTAATATTTTCGCTTGTAAGCCTGAGAGTCAAATATGTAATGAATCTTGACATTGTTGCTACTAAAAATACACTTAGATGAGTAGTATGCTTTTAAAACCTGAGTGTTTATACCGTTTCTCAGTTGCTTTAATTCATTTTGACAGAATGCATTATGAAAATAGTTCAAAATAACTTCAGGTTCCAAACTGTCAACACTTCCTGCTATTATAGCAATTATTCTCTGAGGAGAAAGCCTATCAATCACAAAAAACCAACAGCAGTAAATAATTGTTCTTATTAAACTACATTTAACTTTGAAAGATATTGACTACGTAATTGTCTATTTCGTTTCAGTAGAATTATTTGTTTGACTAACCTGTGTTTCCTAATCGGTTCTTCTAAATTTCCAGGAAAACTAGTTAACTGCTTT